TGGCTATAATATCTAAATTATTGGATCATATCAAACTTTTATGTATAATTATTTTATTTGTTTAATGGTTTTATTTCAAGTTTAATCATCTTCATTAAATAAAAATAATCATTTTCATTCAATAAAAATGAAAAATATTAAAGTATTATTCAATGTCATTATGTATATATTGCTGTACAGTGATCTTAACAACCTAACTGAACTGTTTTGTTTATTTTTATGTATATGAGTGTTTTACCTGCTCATACATATGTACATCATGTGGATGCAGTGGCCTCATGAGGACGCCAGAAGAGGTTTTGAATCCCATGGAATTGAAGATACATATGATAGCAAGTCACCATGTGCGTGCTGCAAACTGAACCCAGATCCTCTACAGGAGCAAGACCTTCATGCTTAGTCATCCCCCGGTTCTCTGGACTATAGTTTAGATGCTGTTTCCCCTTCCTTGGGCAATTCCCCATCCCTTACTACCTCCCTAACCTCTGTGAATATTTTAAATGAAGCACACAGAGCTAAAGCTTTTAAGGCTAACATCCACACATAAGAGGAAACAAGCAATTTTTGGATTTATGGGCCTTGGTTATCTCACTCAAGATGATGTTTCTAGCTCTATCCATTTATCTGCAAATTTTAAACTTTCATTTTTAATAGCTTAATAATATCCCACTCTGCAAATGCTCATTTGCATTATCCATCCATCTGTTAATGTATTTGCAATGTACTGCTATTATTAATAGAGTAGCAATGAATGTGGATAAGCAACTGTCTCTGTACTAAGATGTACAATTCTTGGAGTACAAGAGCAGTATAGCTAAGTCTTGAGGTAGATCAATTTTCAGCTTTTTGGGAACCTCCACATTTATTTCCATAGTGGGTGCACTAGTTTGCACTCCCACCAGCAGTAAATGAGTGTTCCCTTTCCCTACATTCTCACCAGTATGTATTGTTATTTGTTCAATTGATCTTGGCCATTCTGACTTGGATAAGATAAAATATCTAAGTAGTTTTAACTGGCATTTACCTGATGGCTGAGGACATTGAACATTTTTGTGTTTCTCAGCCATTTGTGATTCATCTCTTGAGAACTTTCTGTTAGTACTATACCCTATTTTTAAACTGAGTTACTTGCTTTTTTGATGTTCAGGTTTTTGTGGTGCCCAGTGGCTCAAGTTTCCACCAAAAACCTGAGAATACTTAATAAGCAATTCTAAATGGAACCAAAAACAGGTTCCTGCTTCATGTCTCATGCAGGTGGTGAGATGCTGCAGCATTTGGGCTTGAATGCAGCATGGTCGATTCCTGCCACTGTACACAGTGGCATCTCCAAGCCACACAGTAATGGTAGATACAGCTTTTGCTAGTACTAAGGGGGAAAAGATTTCTGGGCTATATGCTGCTGGATGGAAGCATAGACCCACTGTTTCCCAGAGTCAGTGTTGAGCTTGGTTCCCAGAGCTGGGTATAAATGTATTTCCACCATGTTGGAAAGCTGAGGTGGGTGGACCCAGCAGCCAAAGCTGCTATTTCAGTCCTAGTAATGCTGCAGTTCAAAGCAATAGATTCACAATAAGATAGATTCAGATGGGAAAAACCCTAAACAGTTTACAGTATGTGTAAAAATATATGTAGGCTTGGAAGAGAGAGGAAAAGGAATATAGACAGTTATATGAAGAAATAGAAAGTTTAAAAAAATAAAGTCTTTAAAGAGAAAGTAAAAGCAATATAAAAAATAAGCCATGTAAAGATGGGTATCACATAGAGAGTCTGGATTATATTTTCTTTGGGATTTTTAACTGAAGAGAAACATTTGATTATAAAAGCTGCTAAGTTGAATCAATGTGTATATTTTAAAGATATCTTGATTTCAAAATCTATGTCTAAGGATACACTGCTTTGGAAAAGAGGTTCTTCTGTTTCCACAGAAAATGAGAACCTGTGGATTGCTTCAAGGCTAATATGGTTTGACCAGCCAAGACCCCCTAAAAGGTCTTCGATGACACCATGGCACAGATCATTCAACATCCAAAATCAACTTCAAGGCAACTGGCTCAGAGAGTACAGCCTCATAGACTACTCCAGTCAGGACTTGACCATAATCCTAAAATTTTTTATTATGTGCTCATAAGAATATAGAGCCCTTTATCAGCAGGAAGTAGCCTAGAACACTATGCCCACATTCCCAAAGAATGGATTATGAATATTTGTCTTTGCTTAGATTGTTGGTTACAAATTATTATTGGTCATAGTCAATATTTTTCCAAAAGAAAAAAAGAGGATATGATATAGAAATATAGGATATAGATATGATAGGATAAAAGGGTAGATTATTGAATCTACTTTTAAAGAGCAATAACACTTAAAATATTTTACATTGCTATAGATTTTAGTTTATTGATACAAATTTAAAATTAATTTTGTTATACTGTATGTATATTTCTATTCTTGTTTAAAGTATTATGTTTATGTAACTCATTTAAATTGTAATGGATAATTAAGAAATGCAGATTAATAATTAGTCATCTATGATAATCAAACTTATAGTCATGTTAGTTAAGTTTTCTAGGTATACCTAGATATATTTCAATTAGATAGGTAATCTTCAAACATTTCAAAGACCTACAGAATATGGCATTTAAAATGTTTTAAAAACTTAGACTTTCCTGGACAATGAGACATGTCTTCTCCTGGCAGCACCAATTTGTAGACAAATTTCTAAACAGTCTTATTAAATAAGAAACAGAGAGCCAAATATAGGGGTGAAAGCCATAGAGATCAGGGAAATAGTGAGAGTCACCAGCTAACCTTAGCTCACCATGCCACTGTAGCCTCCCAAGAGAGAGCTACTTCCTGTCTACCCAGGCTTTTATTGCCTTGCTCTCCTGCCCTCTCATTGGTTCTTAGCCCAGCTACCTCACTTCCTTGTCACTGCCTGTCTGTACAGGCCTTCTGGTCTCTAGGTTGGTACTGGGATTAAAGGCATGTGTCACCACGCTTGGTTGTTCCCTAGTATGTCCTTAAACACACAGAGACTCTGTTTGCCATGTGATTGGATTAAGGGCGTATGCTACCACTGCCTGACTTTTGTTTATGACTAGCTATGTCCTCTGATCTCCAGGCAAACTTTATTTATTAACATACAAATAAAATATCACCACATTTCAGCACAAATAAAATTTCACCGCACTGATTTACTTCAGATAGGATGATGTGTGTTGAAGACACTCCATATGGAGTTTATCTTTTTCTTGGCAAAAATAGCCATTTGGACAAGAAACTGTTCTTGCCTGGACTGCTTGATCAACAGGACATGCAGGACCCATGGGAAGGTGACCACTGAACTTTGCAAGGTAAGATGGTCCTTCAGGTTCCTGCCTCACAGAGGACACATTCTACAGGATACAGAGAGAAGTGATTGAGAGACTCTAGGCCTGTAGACTGAAAAATGGATGCCCCACATTGCAGAAGAACTTTGGGTGACTGTCCAGGTGGCCAGCTGTCTCTGTCATCCTAGATCTTTGGAAGTTGCTTACAATGTTCTTCCTGTTTACTTAGGTAATATTGTATCCTTCTGAGGTCTTTGATGTAGTTGATAACTAGATAGTTATAATTTTCCTTGGTAATGATAAAAGATAAATTAGATGTAAAACTTTAGACTCACAAATATAGGATAAATAGGATATCTTCTTTAATTTTACCAAATACAAATAGACTAGATATTTTAACTGTTATTCTTGCTTGATATATGTAATTTTACTAGGTTAAAGTTAAAACCTTTCTTTTGTTTAGAAAGAAAAGAGGAAATGATGGGGGAATGTCTTTCTGTATGCTGAGAAAATATGTTGCTCTGATTGATTTTTAAATAATGCCATTTGGCCTATGGCAAGGCAGCTTAGAGGCAGGTGGAATATCCAAACAGATAGAGAGGAAGGAGACAGACAGAGCAGAGGAGATGCTGCCAGCTGCCGCCATGAGAAGCAAGATGTAAAAGTACCACTAAGCCATAAGGCATGTGGTAAAGTATAGCTTTATAGAAATGGGTTAATTTAAGATATAAGAACTAGATAAAAAGAAGCCTGCCATGGCCATAGTTCAAAAATAGTATTAGCCTGCATGTGTTTATTTGGAGTAGGTGAGTGGGAGAGATTTGTCCCAACCACCAGCAGGCTGGGACACAAGAAAACTTTCAGCTACATTTTTGTTTTGTTTTGTTTTGGTTTTTGGTTGTTGTTTTTTAAAGTTCTTTATATATTCCAGATACTAACTTTTTATTAGATATATAATTAGTAAAGCTAATTACATAGGCTACTGTTTTGCTCAGATGATGGTGTCCTTTGCTGTACAGAAGCTTTTTGTCTGTTTGTCATCATTACTGATGAATCACAGCTGTTACATTTCAGATTCAATGGCCAAGCATTGATGGTCACCAAATTAGCCATTCTCCATGTCCAGGATGGAGAAAGACTACAAAATGATTTAATAACAGCAGAAAGATTGGTAAGGTTTTAAAAAAGACTGTTGAAATACAAAGAAAATTCATAAGACAAGCAAATTATTCAATATTATCACAGAGATTTGAAACCCTGTTTTCCCATTCAAATCCCATGTTTTATGAAGAAGAAATGTCTCCCAATTCAGAGAACAGCTTCTCTGAGTGGAAACTAGGGCACACTGAATTGACCCATTTTCCCCTCCTTTTAAAACACAACACAGAATAATCATATAAAATGTTTACTATGAACAATTTGATACAGTGAACTATTCATTCAATAAATTTCAGATCCTGTGCACCTTTAAAAAAAAAAAAACAGCCCACTCCGCGCCCCCCCTTCCCCACAGTACTGCTGTGGTTACAGTGCAGGAAGGTATCACTATTCAACATCTGCATCTCTATATTTCCTCAAGCTTCATTATCTTAATGCTGCTACCACTGTTGTGAAAATCTTATCTCCTCCCCAATGAATACTAATCAAATGAAGTCATTACTATTAGCTACTTACCCTGACAAAACAACTTAAAGAAAGGTTTGATTTGGCTCACAGTTTCATTGTTCAATCAGTCATAGTGATGATATTGCATCTGCAATCAGGAAACAGAAATAAGAATGATTATGCTCAGCTGGAGTTCTCTTTTTTATATGATCTAGAATCCCAGCCTGTGGCTGCTATTCACATTTAGGGTAGATCTTCCCATCTAAATTTATCAAATATAGAGAATCCCTCACAGATATGCCCAGAGTCTTGTCTCTTCAGTAATTCTAGGTTCTGTCCAGCTGACAATCAATATTAATCATCACACCATGGCATTTTGAAAGCTGTTTTGATGGCACCATTAAAACAAGTAAACTCAGGGATAGCGGAATAGCCACGTGATCTGGTGTAAAACAGACGTCCTCAAGGATATGAGGGATAACTGAGGAAAGTGTTGTAATATACAGCATCCCTTATATAACAATCTAGAAGTGATCCTAAAATGTTATTTGACTTGTGTTCACATACTTACTTGTCTCTATGGTACACAGAAATCATCAACTGTGTTCTCTATAGAATTTTGATCAATTTGATAAATCTTTTCTTAAAGCCTAAATTTATGTCTTTCAACTCTAGATTATATGGTGCCATAAAATGATTGTTTCAAACCAGAGACAGCAAATTAGGTAAAACTTTCATTGTGCCAAAGGAATTGGTAAATCCAGAATAGAGCTTAAATTTCTAAATATCTTTGGTCCATTATTTCATATATTTTGAGATATTATTATTTGATTCTTTTGGTTTATTTTATTATGTATGAATATCCATGTGTATGTAAATGTATACTCATTTGTGCAGAGACATAGAAAAGAAAGAAGAGAGCAATGGATTGCCCAGAGTTAGAGGTGACTGTGAGCTGTCTGACGTGAGCTGAGAACTGAATTCAGGTCTACTGGAAAAGCATGAAGTATCTTAACTCTTAAGGCATCTCTCTAGCTTCCAGTCCTTTTTTTATTTTGATGTAATTTTATCTACTTATTTTTAAGTTAATATACCAGATAGATTTGAAGTCATGAGCTGTAATCAACTTTGTAAGCATGACACATTAAATTTACTCAGCATTGTATCACTTAAAATAGTCACTTCCTCATTTATAAATGATTTTGATTATTTATATTTTTATATGTATATAAATTTAATTATATATTTAAATATAATTTTTATTATATAAATAAAAATATTTATCAATAATTTTGATACAGAAACACATCATTCTATAATGAATTTCTTCGTTGTTTTTCTATTAAAAAATGGAATATAAAATTCATGTATGTTCCTTTAACAAAAAGCAAATATAGATGCCATTCCAGAATACAGATACAATGTATTGCACTTTAAAACAGATTTAATCAGGACAATATCCTATTTGTTCATATATAATAACCCAGTGCTAGAACTGGGCCAGCCAGCATGCAAAAAGGAAATGGAACAAGATGTTAGAAAACCTGAACTCGAGATGATATTATCCTTGCATGTCTAGTATAATCCCAAACATGTTCATTTCTTAGAGTGCATTCTTAGGAATTTGCAGAGATATGACAGAAAGCTAAATGTGACTTAATCAGTAAAGACCATTAATTGTTCCACATAAGAAGAACTCCAGAAGCAGGGTGCTCTAGATTTGATATTGTGGATGGCTGTAGTCATGAATAAAGCAAGCTCTTTCTACCTTCCTACTCTTCATATTTCCATTCAAAGATATAAAATCAGAGAAGCTAAATAAATAAATTATGATTCTATCAAGTTCGGCTTTTCTTTTGTAACAGTGAGGAGATCTAGCAGACTTCCCTATATGTGTTCGTCAAAACGAAGTTGCACAGTCATTTGAAAGGGAGCCTCTGGCTTACCCAGTATCTGTGAAGGGAGATACAAGGGAGGTGCAAGCTTTCAGTGTTAGTCTCTCAAATGTGAGAGTTGGGCCAATTGATCTTTCAAATACAGCTGCAGGCCAATAGGTAGTGCTTGAAAAGAAGTAATGAAAATATGATAAGCTAACTTTGACACTGTTTAGAGAAGTTTGTGTTTTGAGTCAAAATTCCTGTGATGCATGTTCCCCCTCTAAAAACAAAACAAGGTTCCTCCCTCCATAATTTTTAATGTCTAAATTGACCAGTTTCTCCTCTTCCCTAACTTGTCCAGACACTGAGTCATTCGGTTTAACTTTGATGGGGCTGCATCTATTTTTGAGGTTTAGCCATGGTGATTTAAGGACATTGACTGTCTGTAGAGACTTGAGACACTCTTCCAGCACCTCCCTGAGTTTATGCTGCACTAAATTTAAATCAGAAAAAATAAGACATAAATGGCTAAGCAAATAATTCTATTAAAATTATCTTCTTTAAAAATTCCTAAGAGTTCAAAAATGCATTGAATTTGTCCAGCTGGCACTTCATTTGTGAAATCTCATAATCCCATGTTACAATGTACCTCTCCTTCATTTTTTCACATAAAACTGCACAGCTGTCCTTTATTACTAAAAGCACTTACTGAATAAATGTGTGTTCTGAAATTAAAACAAAACACTACTTGAGAGTCGCTTGAAAGCCAGAATGTCGCCAGCATTGTATGCCAGATGTCATTGGAGAGTGACCACGAACAGTACTTCAATCTGTTGGTTAGCCAGGAGCTGCTAACAGCCCATCCTGTCTGAATACAGTGTCAAAGCTACCCCGCAAGGACCCATGTTTTACCAGGATACTCCATGGGAATATTTAGCTGTTACATTGTAAATGCTGTTATTTTGGTTTCTAAAAATGTCACGACAGGAAATGATTCCTGGGAGGAGTTGCCAAGATGGCTGTTTGGTAGAGCCGCAGGAGAAAATGCTAAAGCTAGAAAAAGTAAAAATATGAACTAGTATGTGCGGTAAATGGATTCTAAAAACAAAAATCAACTTGATTTCCGCCTTTATTTATCCTTTACTAGAAGGTGGGAGATGTTTAAGAGGGCACTCCTACGGCACAGCTAATTATTACAAGGCCTCTTCTCTGGCTTTGGATCGGTAAGCAGAAGCTCACAAGAAAGACATCCCGATAATCGGAGGACAGACACCACTCCTACCTTACTGTATTTCCAGAAGCTGCAAATGATGGACCATGGAGGCCTTTCAGAAAGCAACTAGCAGGTTCTAAAAAGCCAGCACTCCTCTCCTGCCGAGGAGAGGAGCCGGTCCCATAGCCACAGGTGTGGCTACATCTGGCCTCCTCCATCCTCAGAGGGATTCTAAGACAACAAGCTCAGCAACCGAGGAGCTGCAGAAGTATTAAAAAAGAAAGAATAAGCAGAAGGGGAAGGATAAGGAGAGAGAAGCTAATTTGCTTTTTTCTCACTGACCACATTTATGTACAGCACAGCTTTTTCCAAGTATGTACTTTCCGGTTTAGCTGACTCGTTCCCACAGAATACTTTAATCAATTATGCTTTAAGAACAATTTTCTTCTTCTCCAGCTATTTATGTTACATCCATAAATACCTGAAAATCACAGCAGATTTTCAAGAAAGTCACCTCAAAAAAATAACCATCTTTTAAAAAAAAAAAGTAATCATATATATCTACAAAGGCTGGTATACTTCTCTTACCAACATAAACTTTAAAAATTTTTCAATATACCTCTAGTTTTAATTTCATAGTTTTAATGTAAACTAAACACATTTCTGCTTTTATGATAATGGGAATGAGATTCTACTACATTTTATTTTTAAACTACAGTTTAACCATTTATTTTCTAATATGTTCCTTGTATGTTTAAAACTACAAGCTACATATAATCTTAAAACTCAGTAACATTCCAGTGTCCCTCAATATTACACACTGCCTTGAACACCAAAGTGTTAAAATATGTGTATCACTACAAAATTCCACAAGTCTGATTTTTTACCAAATAATCCAGGGGAAAAGCAAAAGGAAGGAATGAAAGGGAGAGACAAAAGGCAAGCTAAGTCAATAAATAATAATCAAACACTGCAGCTGATAGGTGGCACACAGACAGTCCAATGCATATATATTGATGTTTGTGCATAATTTTAATTTCTTCCTACATATATGATACGATTTTAATCATAGAGTCTGGCAAAACCATAAATGAGTTGCCTCCATGACTTCTATTTCATTTCCCCTCTTTCCCTGAGATTCCCATTGTCCGCAGGCAGTTAGGACAGTGTCTACCTGAAGGGAAAACGCCATTTCCTTTCTCGGTGACTTCTCATGAGATGGGCATCTTCAAGCTTACTGGAAATCAGATTTTGGTGCAGCTAGGAATCAGATGGTGTTTGTACTTACTAAGTATTTAGAACTCTATACTTTGACAGGGATACTTAACAAATTATTTTTGTGTGTTTATATAAAATTATCTTCATAAAATACTTCAGCAATTTGATAATATCAAATATCAGGTAACCACACTACAATTATCCCTCATTACTGCCATGATAAGTGCTATTTTTAAAATTTGATTTTCTCTTACCTATTCCAAAAAAGTTAATCATGGATATAATAGTCTTTGTTGTCACTTGACACATGTGGGAAGAGGTAACAATGACTGAAGAATTGCCCCTCTCAGATTGGCATGTGGGCATACATGGGGAATATTTTCTTGACTACTGATTGAATAGGCCCAGCCTATTGGAACCACTGCCATCCTTAGGCAGGGTTATATAAGAAAGGTAGCTAAATGTGAGCCTGGAAGAAGCCAGTAAGCAGCATTCCTGTGCCGTTTCTGCCTCCAGCTCCTTCTTGGAGTTCCCACTTCAACTTCCCTTGAGGACTGAATGATCAAATAAGCTTACTACCCACAACCAGCTTGTTTTGGGCCATGTGTTTATCACAGCAACAGAAAACAAACTAGTGGATACACAAGCCAATAGACTATTATCAGCCTTTTAAAAAAATGTTAGAATTAAAGAGTGTAAGCAACTAAAGATAAACAAGTATGAAGAATTTTATTTTCTTTTAAATATTTAGAAGCTATTACTTGCATTCATTATTTCAATTTGTATAAACAAATCCATTTTTATATTCCATTTTCACAAAGGAGGATATGATCCATATTTGTTAGCTTAATTTTTGTCTGATTCTTTTTCCATTAGGTTAGCACTGATTTTCCATTGGTTTTAGTCATATATGATTCATCTGATATTGATGATAAGAATATCTGATAAGGTTAAAAAAATCTTATTTTTTTCAGTCCTGAGGCAGCACATTTAAAACTGGATTCCCCTCAGCCAACAATTTAGGTAAATGTCAAGCTCACACACCTAAGTGGAAGATGATCATTGCTAATTGCTGTGGGATGGTCTGTATGTCAAATTGCTCTGATTGGTCAATAAATAAAACACTGATTGGCCAGTGGCCAGGCAGGAAGTATAGGTGGGACTAACAGAGAGGAGAATTGAGACACTGCCAGCCGCTGTGATGACAAGCAGCATGTGAAGATGCCAGTAAGCCATGAGCCACGTGGCAAGGTATAGAGTTATAGAAATGGATTAATTTAAGATGTAAGAACTAGATAGCGAGAGGCCATTAGGCCAAACAGTTTAAATAATATAAGCGTCTGTGTGTTTATTTTATAAGTGGGCTGTCGGACTGCAGGGGCTTGGCAGGACCCGGAGAGAAAACTCTCCTTTGTCTTTGAAGACAGCTCACCACATCTGAATGCTAGATGGCACAGATGCAGTCACTTCAGAAGTGTTGAAAATGAAAGTCTTGTGTCCTGGGGCATCTCCAACATATGCTTCGGAGTTCACAAACAGAAACAGGGATTGGGAAGCTGTATGACCATTGTTCAGAAATCAATGAAAATTTGCTGTATAGTGAGTAAATGAAAAAAAAATGGTTAGAGAAGATAAAAAAAAGATAAAAGAAGTAGTTTTTTGTAATGGACAAAAATGTTATAATGCTGAGGTCACATTTCGTTGAATAAACCTGAATGTTTATAGGTATACCCTTGTTAATTTTGTCATGGCTGTGAGGTACATTACAACTGTGTAAATTAGTGTTATTTATTCATCTAATATTAAATTCAGCAATACCATGAGAAAATATGTACAACTAGAAATAAAACATATCTACAAACTCCAGGAATATATTGTTTAGGAAAGTAATTACAAACACAAAGCCAACAGTGGTATTAACACTTGATGAACTGACCTACAAAGCAAATTTTCTAAGAGCCAAGAAAAGAGTGGCATCAAAACCACTGAAGGGACCTTCAAGGTGGCTAACTGTTGAGTTCTGATCAGGTGACAGATTCCTTTTAGGAAACCAGATCTGGACAACTCTCAGTGTTACACCTTGAATCAGTGCTACACCTTGAGTCAGGGTGTGAAGCAAGTTTGCCCAATTACCTCACCCAATTCCCTAGACACAGCCACTGATTCAGGAAAGGACTCATGAACCAAGTTGGTTGATTCAAAATGAAGCCTACACGTTCAGTGCAAATGTTCTTTTTTCCAATAGACTTCAACTAGTGTGGAGCTGCTGTTAATTATCTTACCATGAGGCAACACTGGATAAATAAATACCCTTTGGCTGCCATAACAACTCACCACAAATGTTTAAATGTTAAATGGTTAAAATAACAGACCCTTATTCTCTTGTGGTTTAAGGGATCAGAAATTCAACATTATATTCAGGGGCTGAAATCAAGGTGCTGTAGAGGAGAATCACTTCCTTGTATCTTCAAGTGCTAGTAGTTCTTCCTGTTTGCTTGTGACTACATCACTACAATCTTTGTCTCCATATTTCTTTTTTTTTTTTTTTGGTTTTTTGAGACAGGGTTTCTCTGTGTAGCTTTGCGCCTTTCCTGGAACTCACTTGGTAGCCCAGGCTGGCCTCGAACTCACAGAGATCCTCCTGCCTCTGCCTCCCAAGTGCTGGGATTAAAGGCGTGCGCCACCACCGCCCGGCTAAAAGAGCTGTCATTCTTTTTTTTTTTTTTTTTTTTTTTTTGGTCAGAGCTGAGGACCGAACCCAGGGCCTTGCGCTTGTTAGGCAAGCGCTCTACCACTGAGCTAAATCCCCAACCTGTCTCCATATTTCTATTGCCTGTTCCTCTTCTGTCTACTTTTTGTTTCCAGTACTAGGAATTCTGCCTCCCTCTTATAAGACACTTATGATTGATTAGCTTTAGGATCTCCACACTACAATCCTTAACTTAGTCCCATAAACAAAGACCCTTTGTCTTTAGTGTTATTTACAGATTTGGAGGATTAGAACTTGATATCTATGGGTGGTCATTCTTCAGCTTTCTAAAGGCAATACGGAAAAAAGGAGAGATATGGATAGGGTGAAACTGGGTCAGAACAACATTATTTGAATTCCTGAATTAATCTTCACCTTACTTTTCAGTTGTGAATCCAAAGAATCAGTCTGAGTTGAGCTTAGACCCAGGACAGTTCTGATAGATTTAGAACTTCTGTTAGGTTGGGGTAAAGGAATTTCAGACTCAATCACAAATTTTCAGTCCTTATACCTAGGGTCAAAATATTGTTTGTTATAAAGCAAAATAGAAACCATTACAATCAACACATTTGCCAACAGGAAATAATTTTATTGATTTCTAGTACATAAAAGCCTATGCTTAGGGAGTCAGTGAACTCTTGGAAGGCATTTCTGCATCCTGCTGCTTGTAGAAGCATTTTACTTGCAAAATGATGAGATTCCTTCATAGCCCAATTTGTTCCAATTTGAAACGTTGTTTGGGTAATGTGTAGTCTGATGGGGTCATGGAGAATAGAGTCCTTTCTGTTGACAAATGCTGACTATAGAGAGTGTAGTTTTGAGTGCATCTCATCAGTCTGCTAGGCATACTTCTCAGATATGTGATGTGACCAGGTTTCAGAAAGTTAGTGAATCCAACTGGCAGTGGAACAACAAACAATGACCAAAACCTCTTCTGGTACAAGTTTGGTTTTCAAAGGTGTGTCAATGCTACTGTTCAGTGCCATTTGGCTGTTATGGGTTATCATATCCATTCCATTTTTGTTGCACATCACAACCCAATGGAGAAATGATCTATTGTTATATATTAATAAAAGAAAATATAGCTCAAAATGAGAATTTTTTTCTTCTCTTTTTTCCCTTTTTTTTGTATTTTTAGTCAGCTCATATGGCATCCATTCATCAGGCTTTTTCACTTTTCAAAATTATTTCAAATGCTCAATGAGCACTCAGTGGTCCATAATGAGCTCCTGTGTAGCTATAAGAAGATCAGTTTGTGTGATTGCTCTTACTGGTCCTTGTCAA